GCACGTGGCGGGCATGGCCTGCCAGGGGGCGTGGCCTCACCCCGGAGGAAGCTGCTCTTCCCTGGGGTCGGCAGGGGTGCAGACTCCCGGCTGTCAGCCGCCTCTCCCCTCCCTCCTCGTGCACGCTGGGATCCCCTGGATCTTGCCTTCTGCTCAGGCCTCGGAATCCCCCTGCGTGCGCCATTCTCCCCGGAGCCCCGCCCGGCACGCTGGACCGGAACCAGGCCTGGCTTCTGACCCAGCCTCTTGGGAGACCCAGGAGGGACTGCCCGAGGGGCGGTGGTGCTGGGCCTGGGGTCGGCCTGCAGGTGCCCGTGAGAGCCAGGCGGAGGCTGGCGTGCGGCTCGGCGGCCAGCGGCCTCCCCCGGAAGCGGGGTTTCTGATCTGTGGGTGGGCACAGGACTTCACGCGGCCGCCCACAATCAGCCTGGGAGGGGAGGGGCGTGGTGAGCCCTGGACAGAGGCGGCCCCGCGGGGCTTTGCTCAGGGCCCTGGGTGTGAGCGCCGGCGCTGGTGTGCAGTGGGGAGAGGCTCAGGGGCCGACCCCCTCGGCAGGTTCTCCTGGGAGGGGACAGGAAGGGACTCCGCGTCCCCAGAACCCGTGCTCCTCCGCCACCCGGTCAGCCCGGCTCCTGCCGTGTGACCTGGGGCAAGGCGCTTTGGCTCTGCGCCTCCTGGGTCCCTCCCCCGGCCTCCGGGTGTAGCCATCCGGTTTCAGAGGGGAAACTGAGGCTTGGCTTTCCAAGGCCGCAGAGGGAGTCCCGCAGAGCTGGGATCTGGGTGCTCCCAGCCCTGGTTTCTGGGGCCCACGCCTGGGTCCCTGGGTCGTCCGTCTTGCTCCCGGGAGGGGCTCCGTTCTGCGTCCTTCAAGGCTCGGCTGAGGGGTGTCAGCCGGCCGGGCGGCCTCTGGGGCTTTGTCGGGGGTGGGGGTGCGGGGACTCCGGCGGCTGCCCTGGCCCAGCTGCACCTGCTGCTCCCTGCGTGCGCTCACGGAGTCGTCGGGGAGGTTAGCTGATCGCTTAGGAGGCAGAAGCCCTGGGTCGGCAGATGCTCGGGGCCGCACTGGGGCGTCAGAGCGCCACCACAGCCTTGCTGACTCCGCGTGTCGCCCCGACAACACCCTGACAACAACACCCGATGACGCACACCCCAACTTACACCCCGACGACACCCACCTTGACAGTACTCTGACGACACACACCTCGGCGCCACACACCCCGACACCCACCCTGACGCCCCAACAACGCCCACCCTACAACACACACCCCGACAACACACACCCCGACAACACACACCCCGACAAGCACCTCAATGACGCACACCCCAACAACACACCCCGACACCCACCCTGACGCCCCAACAACGCCCACCCTACACCACACACCCTGACAACACACACCCCGACACACACCCTGACATGCACCTCAATGATGCACTCCCCAACAACATACCCCGACACCCACCCTGATGCCCCAACAATGCCCACCCTACACCACACACCCTGACAACACACACCCCGACACACACCCTGACATGCACCTCAATGACGCACACCCCAACAACACACCCCGACACCCACCCTGACGCCCCAACAACGCCCACCCTACACCACACACCCCGACAACACACACCCCACACCACACACCCCAACAACACACACCCCGACAACACACACCTGATGACACACACCCTGACATGCACCTCAATGATGCACACCCCAACAACACACCCCGACACCCACCCTGACGCCCCAACAATGCCTACCCTACACCACACACCCTGACAACACACCCCGACACACACCCTGACAACACACACCCTGACAACACACCCCGACACCCACCCTGATGCCCCAACAACGCCCACCCTACACCACACACCCTGACAACACACACCCTGACAACACATACCCCGACACACACCCTGACATGCACCTCAATGACGCACACCCCAACAACACACCCCGACACCCACCCTGATGCCCCAACAATGCCCACCCTACACCACACACCCCGACAACACACACCCCGACAACACACACCCTGATGACACCCTGACATGCACCTCAATGACGCACACCCCAACAACACACCCCGACACCCACCCTGACGCCCCAACAATGCCCACCCTACACCACACACCCTGACAACACACCCCGACACCCACCCTGACGCCCCAACAATGCCCACCCTACACCACACACCCTGACAACACACACCCCGACACACCCCGTGACACACCCACCCGCAGCACACACCCTGATGACAGCACACAGCTGCACAGGCCACGGCACCCGAGGGGACCGAATGTCCACGTCACGTGTCTTGAATCACCACCTAAAGTTAAGGAAAGTGCTCTGACCCTACGCATCCGGGCAGCCCCGGGCCGGCTGGCCTTGGAGCGGGCGAGCTGCCGGGGTGGGGGAGGGGCGGTGTCCCTGGCCCAGGCCCCCACCCTGCCGCCTCTGGGGGGGCTCCCTGAGAGGCTCAGCGCCCTGTGTTCTGTGGGCGCGAGGCCGAGCTGCCCGGGTGGTGGCCCCAGTCGTGTCCTGAGCCCCATGAGTGGCGGCAGGGCCGGCAGCATCGCACACACGCGGTGCCGGCGGCCGTGGACACGCAGGGCGCTGAGGACGGACCACGTCCCTGTGCCCGCGTGGGCAGGGCGCACAGGCCCAGGGCCCCTCTCTGCACACCTGTCCCAGATGGGACCTCGTCATCCCCCCTCAACCTGAGGTCTGATGGACCCGGGTCCGAACCCCAGCACAGCTGCACGCCTCCCCTGTCCCCCTGTGCGAGGGGACACCAGCTCCTGCGCGGGGCCCGAGCACTGGCAGGCTGTCGCTGTGCCCCTGAGCGAGGCACACGTAGAGCGTTGCGTAGATGTCGGTGACATCTGTCACCTGCTCCCATCCCCCACTCACCGTGCACTGTCAGTAAGTGCTGGCTTGAGTAGCCCTGTGAAGAGGGCTGGCCGCTCTGGGACGCCCTGGACCCCGACCCTGCCCTCCGGATGCCCCTGCTTGAGGGGCAGGGCGTCCTGCGAGACAGCGACCACAGCCATGTGCTCCGGGAAGCCCAGGGGAGTTGGAGCTGATTCTGGGCAGCCAGGAAGGCTTCCTGGAGGGGGTGTCCGCTGAGTTGAGCCAGGGCAATAGGACCAGCCTGGTGCACGTTCCGGAGAGGGGAGTGGAGGCAGGAGCGCCCCCAGCTGGCGAGGTGAGGCGGCACCCTGAGCGGTGTGGCGTGGGGCTGGGGTCCCACCCTGAAGCCACCTGCGGAGTTCCGCCCCTGCTTCTGCACTGACCGCCCCTCAGTGTCCATCTGAGACAGGGACGTTGTCGCCGGCACCGGGGCCTCCCCTGGCCGCCCGAGCTCCAGCAGCGCCGGCCGCTATTCCTGAGTCCCGCTGGCTCCCGGCCATGGCTCCCGGCCGCTGAATGGCGTCTGCTGCCCCTTCCTCCCCGCCCCCTCCCTCAGCCCCTAGGCTGCTGCCATGGGAACCACGGAGGGGAGGCCCGGCCCGGGGAGCCGCGGGGGCTGCAGGAGAGGACGCTGGAGAAAGCAAGGGCAGCTCTGTGCGTGGACCCCCCGCTGGGCCTCGCCACCCCCCACCTGCCGGGCCTCAGCTCCCCACCCCCGCTGGGCCTCACCCCCCCCCCCCAGGCCTTGGCCCCCTTCCCCGGGCCTCGCCCCCCCCCCCGGACCTCAGCTCCCCACCCCCGCTGGGCCTCGCCCCCTCATCCCCGGCCTCGGCCCCCGCCTTGGCCCCGCACACTGGGTCGGCCGTCGCCCTCTGCCCTGTAGGAGTCGGGTGCTCAGAGGCCCGGGCAGAGCAGGCATCCCGACTGTCCGTCACGCACACCTTAGCCGTGAGACCCCTGCAGGCTTCTCGGAGGTGGTGGCCGGAGGCGGGGTGCCAGGGCCAGAGCAAGGTGGGAGCTGGGGACGGGTCAGTGGCACAGAGCGGAAGGAGGTGCGTTCAACATATCTGGGGCGGGCACACAGTGCGGGGAGGGGGCTCAGACCCCAGCCTCAAGGAGCAGACGTAGCCTTGGGCAACAGACCTGGCTGGGGCCGGCGTCAGGAAAGCTTCCTGGAAGAAGTGGTCCCTAAGGCACAGCTCGTGGCTGGGAGCAGGAGCAGAGCACGCTCCCTAGTGGAGAGCTGGTGGTAGCACGGACCCTCCAAGGGCTTTTGTGGGGACACGTGGGGCGAGTGGATAAGAGAAATGAGGTGGGGGTTCCGAGACCCCCGGCCTTAGGGTGGGGGGGATGAGGAGGGCGTGAGTGGCAGGTGGCTGCCGGGAGGCGTGTGGAGGGGCTGAGCTGGTGGACGGAGGGAGAGAAGTGGGGGGGGGGCTGGGGGCAGGGGTGCCTGGGCTGGGCTGACCCGGGACGCCAGGCCTCCCGCATTTATCTGCCTGAGTCCAGTAAGATGCGGAGGGGGCAGGGGGCAGGGGCAGCCTGGAGGGTGGGTGTGGGGGGTGCCCACAGGGGACACCTGGGGCGGGCGGAGGGACAGGACATCTGGGGGTGGCGGGGGCGGGAGGTCTGGGGGTGGGGGAGCGGGAGGTCGGGGGGTGGGGCCAGGAGGTTCTGCAGGTAGAGGGGTGGGAGGTCTGGGGTGGGGGCGGGAGGTCGGGGGTGGGGGGCGGGAGGTCTGGGGGTGGGGGGTGGGAAGTCTGGGGGTGGGGGCGGGTGGTTCTGCAGGTAGAGGGGCGGGAGGTCTGGGGGTGGGGGGTGGGAGGTCTGGGGGTAGAGGGGCGGGACCTCTGGGGTGGAGGGGGTGGGAGGTTGGGGGTGGGGGCGGGCGGAGGGACAGGACGTCTGGGGGTGGCGGGGGCGGGAGGTCTGGGGGTGGGGGGAGCAGGAGGTCTGGGGGTGGGGCCGGGAGGTTCTGCAGGTAGAGGGGCAGGAGGTCGGGGGTGGGGGCGGGCGCCCCCTTGCCGGGCCCCGCCGGCCCACGGCCCCGCCCCCCGCCCAGCGTCTCTGTCTTCCCCAGCAACTACACGGCCCTGCTGGGAGTGTGGATCTACGGCTTCTTCGTGCTCATGCTGCTGCTCCTGGATCTGCTCTACTACTCGGCCATGAACTACGACATCTGCAGGGTGTACCTGGCGCGCTGGGGCATCCATGGACGATGGGTGAAGCAGGACCCCCGGCGCTGGGGGACCCCTGCTCGGGCCCCCCGGCCGGGGCCGCCCGCCCCCCAGCCGCAGCCGCCTCCGGGAGCCCTGCCTCGAGCCCCCCGGGCCGTGCACACGCCGCGGGGAGACCCCCACAGCCCACCGCTGATGACCTCCCAGAGCTCGTCCGCCTGGTGAGTGGTTGCCATGGAGACCCGGCCGCCCCGGGGTCGCCTGCCTTTTGCGAATCTGGAAGATCCCCGTGGTTATTGCCGCTGCGGGTGGCTCGCCTGTGGCCTGGTGACTTGCCGATGTCACCGTGTTTGCCGGGAAGCGTTTGCAGCTGCCCGGGCTAGCACGCGACACGTGCCCCGGGCAGAGAGGTCAGCATGAGGGGTGCGGGCAGAGCTTGCAAGCTCACTGCGTGCAGAGCCCGAGTCGTGCTGAGCCGGACGTGAGGTTTTGAGCTTCCGAGCTACCAAGGCACAAAGGGAAACGGGACGGCGCTGAGGCCGGTCAGAGGAAGCCAGTCAGCGTGTCTGGGGCTGGAGTTGGCAAACAAACCGATTGCTTGTTCCTCCCGTGTCCCTCCCCTGAGGGGAGCCAGACAGGCTGTGCGGGGACAGCTCCGGGGACTGGAGGGAGACGGGCACAGACGGTGAGACTCAGGGGCGGCTCCGGGGACTGGAGGGAGACGGGCACAGACGGTGAGACTCAGGGGCGGCTCCGGGGACTGGAGGGAGACGGGCACAGACGGTGAGACTCAGGGGCGGCTCCGGGGACTGGAGGGAGACGGGCACAGACGGTGAGGGGGGGGGGGACAATCAGTTGCGGCTTGACCGGGGACTGGATGGATGAGACGGGCACAGACGGTGAGACTCAGGGGCGGCTCCGGGGACTGGAGGGAGACGGGCACAGACGGTGAGACTCAGGGGCGGCTCTGGGGACTGGAGGGAGACGGGCACAGACGGTGAGACTCAGGGGCGGCAGAGGCCAGGCGTGTGCAGACCTGGCATCGCCCGCTGTGACGCCATCTCTGCCCGGGACCCGTGTGATGGGGCTGCCGTGTGCCCACCGCAGGAAGCCTGGTGGTGCAGCCTCCAGAGGTGGACGGGGAGACGCGGGGTCTGCGTGCCGTGGAGCAGGACCCCGCCGGGAGGCAGCACCGGGGAAGGAGCCGGAGCCCGATGCAGGGGTGGCGTGTGGGGCTGAGCTGCAGCCGCGGGCATGTGGGGCTCAGGGGGCCCGGGCCTGGGAAACCGTGACCTTGATCGACGGCTGCAAGATCCATCCCCGAGCCTGCCTGCTGGCCGAACGGGACGTTCCAACCCAGCGACCACGGGGCTCCAGGTCAGGAGCTCGGCGGCCCCCACCCCACGCCACCCCGGGCTGCAGCTCAGCACTGCTGTCTCCCCTTCCCCTGGCTTCCGGCGTCTCCTTCTCGCCTCTTAGCACGGGTGCTTGTTGAAGGAGCCCAGGGCGCGCGCGCCCCTCCCCCGAGCACAGAGCAGGTGCACGCGGAGCCTTTGTGGCTGCCTCCCCGGCAGCGCGTGTGCGTGCCAGCTGATGGCCATTTAAATACCCAGCAGGTAGCGACCTTTTCAATAATGAATGACTTAAATCGTTACTAAGATGCACTTAGACGGACTCGTGCCCATCGATCGGACCGTGCCCCATCCATCACGTGGGAGACAGAGTCGCCGCCCTGCCTGGCTCGATTTGACAAATGCCGACTTGAGCCGCCCTGGGGCAGGGACTTCCTGCTGGGCTCCTGGGGACGCAGAGGGAGGGGGTGCCGTGGAGAGGGGAGCGGGGAGGGGCGCCCCCCCCCCACCGAGGCAGGGAGGAGCTACAGGCAGGGAATCTTCTGTGATCCTGACACCCGGGTCCTTGTCACGCTGGTGAGCTCCGAGAGCGCCACCTGCAGGCAGTGCCGTGCGAGAGCTCCGGAGGATGGACTTCGGCAGCCCCCGCCCCACCCTGCACCTGCCCTGCTCGCGCCCCTGCACACTTGAGAAGTGTCGCGGAGTCTCCCTTGCTGTGAGCGCCTCGTCTGTCTCTTCCGCGGTGCTTGTCACCAGCAAACGCCCGGCGTGCACCTGCCGCTGCGGCGGCCTCGGGGTACAGGGCTCCAGGACTGTGGAGGGGGAGGAGCTCCTTCGGCTCGCCAGGCACCCCGAGCTGTGCGTGCAGAGGGACGCTTCCGACGGAGGAGCGCGGGGCTCAGGGCGCCGGGCCCATAGCCCCAACGCTGGTGTTTGTGCGGCCAGGACGGGGCCACCCAGGCCGCCCACCGGACGCGCTGCCCCTCTGCTGACCTCAGCTGTGTCTGCTCTGGGGCCGGCCCTTTGCTGTGGGAGATCGCAGCTTCTCCTGCCCCCGGGGGCTTCTCCGTCACCCGCCTTCTCCTCACGCAGGGAGCGGGGGGCGCCAGGAGAGGGAAGAGGGTGGCAGCCACACACACCCCACCTGGGCCCCTGGCTGGGCCGCGTCAGGTTCACCAGGTCCCGGGAGGTACTGAGAGCCCAGGAGGTACTGAGAGCTGGGGAGCACCCCAGGGGAAACTGAGGCAGGAGGCCACAGACACAGGGGAACTGGGGCTCCGGGTGCCCCACACTGGGTTCTCCCAGGAACCGGGCTCAGCACGGCTGCACCCCCCTTGGAGGGGAGCAGATGCTGGGGCTCGGGGCCCTTGGTTAGCTGCCCCTGTCCCCCACACAGCCTCCCTGGGGTGGGGGGAGGGGCCGTGGCAGCACTGGAGGCCCAGTGGCGCATGCCCGGCCATCCTGTGGACACGTGTCCCATCTGTCTCTGTCGCCGGGAGTCTGACTGCACAGATGGGGTGCAGGGCGCCTGCCCCGGCTCTCTGCAGCTGAGTGGCAGTGCCCGCGGGGGGCCCGCATGCCGCTGCCTCGGCTTCTGAGCTCCCCCCCACTCGGTAGGAGATGAACGCAGACCGGGAAGTTTCACACCCGGATTCTCCGCACTCGTGGAGCCCCCCTGCCCTGAGCAGCAGCTGCCGGTGGGAAGCCCGGGGCTGGGTGGGCCCTGTGGTGTCGAGCGCCGTGGTGACGAGCTGCCCGGGGTCTCCTGTGCACACTGGAGGGCTGGGGTCTCCTTGCAGGGGTAGGGGCACGCTCGGCTCGCAGCCGGCAGCTCCACCTATCAGGCCCACCAGGCCTCTCCCACCTGGTACCCGCTGCCTGCTTTACTTTCCCCGATACTTTCTGCCCGGTGCTGGGTGTCGCTTACCTGCGCCCAGCACACAGCAGGTGCTCAACGGGGTGTGTCCATGCCCCCGTCTGTCACGTGGGCCTTCTCTCGCTGACCTCTCGGCCTCCTGCTGGTGCTGCCCCAGGCTGACCACGAAGGCCCACGGAGGCTCAGCCCCGAGCGGGGCTGCCACGGTGGGGCTCAGTGGGCTGCGACTGTCATTGTCCCTGTGAGTCAGGGGGGCCCACTGAGCACCTACTGTGTGCAGACACGGCCAGACACAGCTCCTGGTGGGAACTCTGGCTCTGCCCCCCACCCGCCTGACCCCAGCCTGCACTGTCTGACTGCGATGTGGGCCTGCGGCTGTGAGGGGTACAGGGGCCTCCTCCCCCCACCTCCTCATCCCTGTGCCCAACTCCCCTCCCCAGAGAGGGCCTTCCCACCCCGCACCCCCGCTGGGCTCTCGCTGAACTCCAGGCAGGTGCACCTGGCACTGCCAGCGTTTCCGTGGCCCCGTAGCTCCCGGCTGGGACTCAGCCGCTCGGGGCTCGGCGTCACCCAGTGCATCCGGGAGCCTGAGCCAGGGTCCCCCCGGGCCCACGTCCGACCTTGAGCCGGCTGTCACCGGGCTCTTGCCGACTTCCGAGCCTCGTCCCTCCCACTCCCGCCCCACTTCTGCTCTGGCTGGATCCCTCCCCACCCTGCCTCTTCCCAGAATGCCCTTCTGTTACACCCCGGCGAGCTCCTATTCATCCTTCAAAACCTCCCCTGGGCCCAGGGCTCCGCCAGCCTGGGTGAGGCGGTGGCTGGCAGGGCTGAGCTGGCCTGGGCAGGGGTCATCCGTGCGCCTCAGATCTTGTGGGTGTTCAGACCCCTGGGGTCTTGCTGGGTTGGCCAACTCTGATGCGCGAGGTGTGGGGTGGGCCTGGGACTCTGCGTTTGTAGGATGAGCCTGATGGTGCTGATGCTGCCGTCCGGGGGTTGCAAGGACAGAGAGGCCACTAGAGAGGGGGCACGGGTGGCGAGGGAGCCGTTACCCTGGCCCCCGTGAGTGACAGCAGCCCCGGGGACTTGGCTCCAGGGACCCCGTCTGTGCATCGGCCCCTGCTCCCCCCAGCCCCTGCAGAGCCCCGGCTCTACCCTCCCTCCCGGCTCTCCTCCCTCCCGGGCGTGCCTGGCCCCGGAACCTTCTCCCACGGAGCTCCAGCACCCGCTCGCTCCCGGCTCTGCAGCCGCGGGGCTGAGTCCTTGGGGCGTGGCTCCCCCGGGGAGGATGCCAGCCAACAGCGAGAAATTCCAGAAAATTAGAAGACCAAAAAGGGAGAGGAGCAGGCCTCTGCTTCCCCTGGCGTTGCCTCAAATTCCAGGGCAGCTCTGCGCACGGTCAGCGGCCCCGCGGGGTAGGGTTGCACGCCCCAGGGCTGGCCGTTGGGCCCAGCTCCGGCCGGCCCCGGCTCCCGTCTCTCCCCGGGCCCTCCTGGCCGCTGGGCCCAGCTCCGGCCGGCCCCAGGCTCCCGTCTCTCCCCCGGGCCCTCCTGGCTCCCGTCTCTCCCCCGGGCCCTCCTGGCCGCTGGGCCCAGCTCCGGCCGGCCCCCCAGCTCCCGTCTCTCCCCCGGGCCCTCCTGGCCACTGGACCCAGCTCCGGCCGGCCCCCCTGGCTCCCGTCTCTCCCCCGGGCCCTCCTGGCTGCTGGGCCCAGCTCCGACCGGCCCCCGGCTCCCATCTCTCCCCCGGGCCCTCCTGGCTCCCGTCTCTCCCCCGGGCCCTCCTGGCCACTGGGCCCAGCTCCGGCTGGCCCCGGCTCCCGTCCCTCCTCCACTGGTTCTGCTTGCATCTCGCCAGTGCAGCTCCCTTCCTGTCCGTTCACTGGTGCTGCTGCCCTCCTAAGGCAGTGCAGTGTTCCCAGGGGACAGTGACAGACGGCCCAGAGCCAGGGCTGGGCCTGCTGTGTGCCCCTGGTGGCCCGCTGGCCCCCTCTGAG